ACATTAATGTTGGAAACGCTGCACCTATCAAGCAACATGCTTATCGTGTCAACGTCTCTAAAAGAAAGATAATGAGGGATGAGGTCGGTTATTTGCTGGAGAATAACCTGGCTATGCCAAGTTCAAGTCCTTGGAGTTCTCCGTGCATGCTGGTTCCTAAACCTGATGGGACATCCAGATTATGTACGGACTATCGGAAGGTCAATGCTGTCACAGTGCCCGACTCGTTCCCGTTACCCAGACTGGATGACTGTATTGATACTGTTGGTGCTGCTACTTATGTAACCAAACTAGATCTTCTAAAAGGTTACTGGCAGGTGCCGTTAACCTCACGTGCCTCCGACATCTCTGCCTTTGTGACCCCAGATCACTTCCTACAATATGCTGTCATGGCATTTGGGATGCGGAACGCACCAGCCACTTTCCAACGCCTGGTTAACACAGTATTGGCTGGAGTTCCTAATTGTAGTGCTTACCTGAGTGGTCTGATCATGTTAACACTCTAAGGGTAGTGTGTGAACATCTAGCAGCCGCTTCTCTAACCCTGAACTTAGCAAAGTGCGAGTTTGGGAAGGCCACTGTTACTTATCTTGGTAAACAGGTCGGCCATGGTCAGGTGCGCCCTCTAGATGCCAAGGTCTCAGCTATAAATGCATTTCCCGCACCTACCACCAGAAGAGAGCTACGCCGCTTTTTAGGGATGGTTGGCTACTACCGTAGTTTCTGTAAAAATTTCTCTGCGGTAGTTGCTCCATTAACGGATTTGCTCAGTCTGGCGAGAAAATTTGTATGGTCTGAAGATTGTCGTACTGCTTTCAACACTGCTAAAGCACTCTTATGTAGTACTCCTGTTCTTGCTGCGCCAGATTTTGAACGACCGTTTAAACTGGAGGTAGATGCAAGTGCCAGAGGTGCTGGTGCTGTTCTACTGCAGCAGGACCAGAGTGGAGTGGACCATCCTGTCTGTTATTTTTCATGGAAATTTAACAAATGTCAGACAAACTATTCCACCATTGAACAAGAAGCTCTAGCTTTGTTGTTAGCTCTGCAGTACTTTGAAGTTTATGTTGGTTCCAGTGCATTACCAGTGATAGTGTATACTGACCATAACCCCTTAGTTTTTCTCCACCGGATGTACAACCAGAACCAACGCCTTATGCGTTGGGCACTTGTCGTGCAAAATTATAATTTGGAGATCCGCCACAAAAAGGGGTTGGATAATGTGTTAGCAGATGCTTTGTCTCGTGTTTAATGATCTAGGTTTTTTTTGTTATCCCGTCAGGATGATTTTAGAATTTGGGGTGTTGTGATGGTACGTGTGTCGCAAACCATTGTGGTTTGCTCTTTTAAGGGTGGGAGTGTTACGGATACAGGTATCCTCTGTCTTTTTGTGTTTTTCCTCTCCTTCTGCCCTAATCACAGCTCCTTCTGCCCTAATCCTGTATGTTCCTGATTGGTGGTCGTTGAGGTGTCTGCTGATTGCTAAGGTGGACCAATCAGTGAACATTCCTCTGCATTGCACCACCTGTAGCTGGTTTTTCCATCACACATCCCATTGTTTAAAAGCCGGTCAGTTGTGTTTTTTGTTAGAGACTATTTCCGTATGTGAGTATGGAGACTGTGGTGTCCTGTGTTTTGTTTACTCACTAAGTTGCTGGTTACTCTGTTTGGTAACTTTGTTAGAATACTTTTCGTATGTGAGTATGAATACTGTGGTGTTTTGTGTACTCACTCATTTGCTGGTTACTCTGTTTGGTAACTCTGTGTGTTTCTGGGAAAAGGGGAGTTTAAGCAAGTTGCCCTTGGGCGTACATTACCCGTAGGAAGAAAACTGTCTAAAAACACTAGTTAGACCTGAGCGGACCACCCACTGTATTTTTGTATGATTAGCAGTAGCTTAGCGGTTCTTGAGGCAGGCAAGATCAGTTTAGGGGTGTTTTACACTATTGTTTCATTTCTTGGGTCTTGCTCAGCCCTTTTTCCCAAACCTTTACCGTGTGTTCAACAATAAACCTTTTATGTTTGACGGTAGTTTAGGGTTGTCGTGTAGTTTTATTTCTCACTGTTCCATGTCACGCTTATAATTTGCATGAATTATGTTACGGGTCTCATGTCCATCCACCCTAGACGTGTAAAGCCACGGAGTTCGTAACAGCACCTAAAGACTCTCAGACCATGAGAAACAAGATTCTCTGGTCTGATGAAACCAAGATTGAACTGAATTCCAAGCGTCACGTCTGGAGGAAACCTGGCACCATCCCTACGGTGAAGAATGGTGGTGGCAGCATCATGCTGTGGGGATGTTTTTCAGTGGCAGGGACTGGGAGACTAGTCAGGATTGAGGCAAAGATGAATGGAGCAAAGTACAGAGAGATCCATTAGGAAAACCTGCTCCAGAGCACTCAGGACCTCAGACTGGGGCGAAGGTTCACCTTCCAACAGGACAACGACCCTAAGCACACAGCCAAGACAACACAGGAGTGGTTTTCGGACAATTCTCTGAATGTCCTTGAGTGGCCCAGCCAGAGCCCGGACTTGAACCTGATCAAACATCTCTGGAGAGACCTGAAAACAGTTGTGCAGCAACGCTCCCCATCCAACCTGACAGAGCTTGAGAGGATCTGCAGAGAACAATGGGAGAAACTCCCCAAATACAGGTGTGCCAAGTTTGTAGCATCATACCCAAGAAGACTCAAGGCTGTAATCGCTGCCAAAGGTGCTTCAACAAAGTACTGAGTAAAGGGTCGAAATACTTATGTAAATTTCAGGTTTTTATTTTAAAGAAATTAGCAAAAAGTTATAGAAACCTGTTTTTGCTTTGTAGGTTGATGAGGGAAAAAAACAATTTAATCCATTTTAGAATAAGGCTGTAACGTAACAAAATGTGGAAAAAGTAAAGGGGTCTGAATACTTTTCGAATGCACTGTACAACACCTCTATGTTTATGAGCACATGCAGTACAATAGCTAGATACAAGCCCTTTGATAGTATTGAAGGGGCTAATAACAGTGGTCTCCCTATTGTACAGTCGTGGTCAAAAGTTCTGAGAATGACACAATTATTGGTCTTCACAAAGTTCGCTGCTTCAGTGTTATGAGATATTTTTGTCAGATGTTACTATGGTATACTGAAGTATAATTACAAGCATTCCATAATTGTCAAAGGCATTTATTACATTAAGTTTATGCAAAGAGTCAATATTTGCACTGTTGACTCTTCTTTTTCAAGACCTCTGCAATCCGCCCTGGCATGCTGTCAATTAGCTTCTGGGCCACATCCTGACTGATGGCAGCCCATTCTTGCATAATCAATGCTTGGAGTTTGTCAGAATTTGTGGGTTTTTGTTTGTCCTTCCGCCTCTTGAGGATCGACCACAAGTTCTCAATGGGATTAAGGTCTGGAGAGTTTCCTGGCCATGGACCCAAAATGTCGATGTTTTGTTCTCTGAGCCACTTAGTTATCACTTTTGCCTTATGGCAAGGTGCTCCATCATGCTGGAAAAGGCATTGGTCATCACCAAACTGTTCTTGGATGGTTTGGAGAAGTTGCTCTCGGAGGATGTGTTGGTACCATTCTTTATTCATGGCTGTGTTCTTAGGCAAAATTGTGAGTTAGCCCACTCCCTTGGCTGAGAAGCAACCCCACATATGAATGGTCTCAGGGTGCTTTACTGTTGGCATGACACAGGACTGATGGTAGCGCTCACCTTGTCTTCTCTGGACAAGGTGTTTTCCGGATGCCCCAAACAATCAGAAAGGGGATTCATCAGAGAAAATGACTTTACCACAGTCCTCAGCAGTCCAATCCCTGTACCTTTTGCAGAATATCAGTCTGTCCCTGATGTTTTTCCTGGAGAGAGAAGTGGCTTCTGTGCTGCCCTTCTTGACACCAGGCCATCCTCCAAAAGTATTCGCCTCACTGTGCGTGCAGATGCACTCACACCTGCCTGCTGCCATTCCTGAGCAAGCTCTGCACTGGTGGTGACCCGATCCTGCAGCTGAATCAACTTTAGGAGACGGTTCTGGTGCTTGCTGGACTTTCTTGGGCGCCCTGATGCCTTCTTCACAACAATTGAACCTCTCTTCTTGAAGTTCTTGATGATCCGATAAATGGTTGATTTAGGTGCAATCTTACTAGCAGCAATATCCTTGCCTGTGACGCCCTTTTTGTGCAAAGCAATGATGACAGTACGTGTTTCCTTGCAGGTAACCATGGTTAACAGAGGAAGAACAATGATTTCAAGCACCACCCTCCTTTTATAGCTTCCAGTCTGTTATTCTAACTCAATCAGCATGACTGATCTCCAGCCTTGTCCTCGTCAACACTCTCACCTGTGTTAACGAGAGAATCACTGACATGATGGCAGCTGGTCCTTTTGTCGCAGGGCTTAAATGCAGTGGAAATATTTTTGCAGGGTTAAGTTCATTTTCATGGCAAAGAGGGACTTTGCAATTCATCTGATCACTCTTCATGACATTCTGGAGTATATGCAAATTGCCATCATCAAAACTGAGGCAGTAGACTTTGTGAAAACTAGTATTTGTGTAATTCTCAAAACTTTTAACCACGACTGTAGCTACTGATTACCTTAGCATATCTTGGCGCTGACAGTCACTTTTTCAGGGCTGCCTTATAATGCTGTGAAAGGATCCAGGAACCCAAATTATTTGGGTGGATCCCATCCTCCTTATAAAACGTGATTTGTTTCCAAAAGGTATCGAAATTGTGAACAAAAGCTGCAATAATCACGTAGCCAGCTGTGAAGAGTAAGAATCTTGCTAAAGCGTTCAATGCCACGATTCAGAGAGGGAACAGGGCCAGATTTGAAGGGTCTTTTATTAGTGTCTAGTAGAGAATCAATCTGCTCTTTAACATCCAGTTTCATAGCTGTAGCTGTGTGTAAATCAATAGCTTTAGCTGTGTGTAAATGTGTGTCATTGTCCATCTCTCCAATCCCATTTTTCTCCTCCTCATCCCTCTCTCCACTCGTCCTTCCACAGGTCTTCTTCATAGAGTCACTGTGTGACGACCCAGAGATCATCGCTGAGAACATCAAAGTATGTTTCTGTTTCTATTAAGTGTACTGATCTCGACTGTGAGTGTGTGTGTGTGTGTGTCCTGATCTCTCGTGTGTGTGTGTGTGTGTGTGTGTGTGTGTGTGTGTGTGTGTGTGTGTGTGTGTGTGTGCGTACACAGCAAGTGAAGCTGAGTAGTCCAGACTACGTGGGTTGTGATAAAGAGGAGGCGGTCGCTGACTTCCTCAAGAGGATTGAGTGTTACAAAGTTACATACATATCCCTGAACGATGAGAAGGACAGGTAACACACACGCATACACACACACACACACACACACCCAAACACACACAACGGGTATCTAGTGAACCATGTGCAGGACTCTGACACCTCTCTCCCCCTCCTCTTTCTCTCCTCTCCTCCCCTCTAGGAGTTTGTCATATATAAAGATCTTCAACGTAGGCAGCCGGTATCTAGTGGATCGTGTGAAGGAATCTAACACCTCTCTCTCTGCCCCCCTCCCTCCCCGCTCCCCTCCCTCCCTCCCCCATCTCTTTATCTCCCTCCTCCCCTCCCTCTCCCTTCTCTCTCCCCCCCACTCGCATCCTCTCTCCCCTCTTCTAGGAGTCTGTCATATATAAAGATATTTAATGTGGGCAGCAGGTATCTAGTGAACCGTGTGCAGGACCACATCCAGAGTCGTATTGTTTATTACCTGATGAACATCCATGTAGCACCACGTTCCATCTACCTGACCCGCCACGGAGAGAGTGAACTTAACCTGGTGGGACGCATCGGAGGAGACTCTGGCCTGGGCCCACGCGGTAACAAGGTAGGAGACTGGTCTCTCCCCAGGAGGAACCAAGGTAGGAGACTGGTCTGTCCCCAGGAGTAAACAAGGTAGGAGTCTGGGGTCTGTCCCGAGGAGGAAATAAGGCCGGAGACTCTGGTCTGTCCCAAGGAGGAAACAAGGTAAGAGACTGGGGTCTGTCCCCAGGAGTAAACAAGGTAGGAGTCTGGGGTCTGTCCCCAGGAGGAAATAAGGCCGGAGACTGGTCTGTCCCTAGGAGGAAACAAGGTAGGATACAAGTAAGGACCTTGTCTGTCAGCCCTGCATTAAAGATCAAAATTAGCTAAAGAAAATTGTGATAAATAAAAAAAGTATACCAGTTTTATTTAAGGACCAAAGAATGGACAGCTGTGCCATACAGATTGCAGAATAGTTTGGAAGACCTTTTCGATGTACCGATTCCATGGCACATGTTTTATGAACTGATACACAAAACAACACTGGATTCAAAACTTAGAGTTTTTCAATTTAAATTATTATACAAAATTCTTGCAACCAATAGAATGTTATATATGTATATATATATGGGGGATACCACCATCCCAGCTCTGCAGATTTTGCTACGAAGAGACAGAATCATTTGTTTTGGTACTGTCCATATGTAGCTTGTTTTTGGTCGCAGGGTCAGGAATGGCTGAAGAATTGCAACATTTACCTGGAGCTAACTCTGCAAAGAGCACTGTTGGGTGATTTTAAAAAGTCATAGTCAATCGATCAATAATATAATAATACTCTTAGCAAAACATGTTATCTTTTATTTACAATCAGTAGAATCTATGAGAATAGAAAGGTTCATAACTTTTGTGAAACTTCACAGCACAGTTGAAAAATATACGGCAAATAGAAATCAAAACTGGATGGTGTTCAGAGATAGATGGGAGGAGTTGAGTGGAGCTGAAGGATGGGACCAAAATCTAACAAAATATAACTATTGTAAAATATTCTGTGTCCGTCATATGTATATAGTATGTATAATTGGAAGTAGAAGCCTAAGTGTTGTTGTCCATTAGTTTACTCCAATTAGGGGAGAGATGATAGGGTTAGGGGAAAATAATAAAGACAAATATATTTTGTTTAGTTTGCCAGTGCTCTAGGAGGGTACATGCGTAGCCAGTGTATCAAAGGTCTAAAGGTGTGTGTATTTTGTTAGTGCTCTAGGACAGGGTTTCCCAACCCTCTCCTTGGGCTCCCCCAGCCATTTCACATTTTTGTTTTAACCCTAAACTGGCACACCTGATTCAATTAGTCAAAGGCTTGATGATTAGTTGACTAATTGAATCAGGTGTGCAAGTTTAGGGTTAAAACAAAAATGTGAAACGTCTGGGCCCGAGGAGAGGGTTGGGAAACCCTGCTCTAGGAGGGTACATGCGTAACCAGTGTATCAGAGATCTAAAGGTGTGTGTGTGTATGCATACGTGTGTGTGTGTGTGTGTGTGTAGTTTTCCAGTGTTCTAGGAGTGTACATGCGTAACCAGCAGTGGAGGCTCCTCAGAGGAGGAAGGGGAGGACCATCCTCCTCCAGTGAATTTCATAAAAATGAGAATTTTCAATCATTTAAAAAGTCTCCCTTTTTAGATAAAACTATACTAAATATATTCACATCACCAAATAATTGATAAAAAATACTGTTTTGTAATGAAGTTCTACAGTAGCCTCAACCGCACTCTGTAGGGTAGCACCATAGTATAGCCGGAGGACAGCTGGTTTCCGTCCTCCTCTGGGTACATTGACTTCAATACAAAACCTAAGAGGCTCATGGTTCTCACCCCCTTCCATAGACTTACACAGTAATTATGAAAACTTCCGGAGGACATCCTTCAACCTATCAGAGCTCTTGCAGCATGAACTGACATGTTGTCCACCCAATCAAAGGATCAGATAATGCATCTAGTACTGAATGCATAAGCTACAGCTAGCTAGCACTGCAGTCAAACAGTTTTTAAACAAATTAATTTCTTTAAAACTGAATCAGAAGCAAGCGAGAGCGAGAGAGTGAGCTAGCCATATTTTGTTGTATATTTTTTTTTCACTTAGCCTACTCAAACACCTGGCTCAAACAGAGAGGGATGCTATGTTAGCTAGCTGGCTATGGCTAACCAACACTGGAACTCTTCCAAGTCAAGATACGTTTTTGGTTGTATAAATGTATTGCCACCGGGGCCCGCCAGTGTAACTGCTAAACTGTACACTGTACTGAATGATTGTATTGGGTTTACTAACTCGTTAATTCTAGTTGTTATGTTGACTAGCTATGATGTTAGCTAATATGGTGACAACGCTGTAGGCTGTGTGTAGTGGTTATGATATGAAGGTTTGGCTTAGAAAGTATTTTTCACCTGGTCACAGACAGATGATGTCTTGTGCACAAAAGTCCACAAGCGAAGGGAGAAGGTGAGTGGAGGAGCGCGCGTAGATGCGAGAAGGAATTCTACAACGAGCAAAATGATCATGCTGTTTGTATGTGGCTGGTATGAAAGTGAACTGTTTTCTGATGAAAAACATTTCTTAAATGGAAGCAAAGGGAACAAAACAGGGATAAACATACCTGAATTTGTCCAATTGAAACTCTTGTTTGCAATTATTGGACTAATGATTGTACCCTAGATCAGATAGATGCAGGCAAGAGTGTGCAAGGCGGTGTTGAATGTATAACTGTCTGTCAACTTGTTTACTCAAATGTTTCTCTCGACCTAGGTTGTAGCAACTTCATGATAGATATAGGGAAAATTTGAGTATCATGTTTGAGTATCATAATACAATCGATGTTACATTGAGCTGGGTGAATGGAATATGAATGACAGTCATCCAACATGCTGTAATGGAAATAAAGCCATGCTCATTAAACATCACCGACCGCCATTGGTAACTAGTGTATTAGAGACCTGAAAATGTATCAAAGTCCAATCAAAATCAAATAGGGGGTGTACATGTGCTTATTTTTGTCCTGTTTCACACAGGTGTAAACTATAAAAGTGTGTGGTGTTAAATGGAAATGTGTTTTTTGCATATACCACTCACCCTGAGACACCCTCAGAGAGTGGGGTCACAGCCGGGGATCAGCAATTGACGGCTCTGTAGCAATTAGAGCTAAGTGCCTTGCTCAAGGGCAGATCAACAGATTTTTAATCTAGACAGATTTTTCACCATTTAGGGTTAAATCAAAAATGACTGGGGTGGGCCGAGGAGAGGATTGGGAAACCCTGCTCTAGGAGCGTACCTGCGTAACTAGTGTATCAGAGATCTAAAGTGTGTGTGTGTATGTGTGTGTGTGTGCATGCATGTAGTTTGCCAGTGCTCTAGGAGGGTACATGCGTAGCCAGTGTATCAGAGATTTGAAGGTGTGGACCAGCCATATGAAGAGAACCATCCAGACAGCTGAGGGTCTGGGAGTCCCCTACGAACAGTGGAAGGCCCTAAACGAGATAGACGCAGTAAGTGTGTCTGTGTCTATGTGTGTGTGTGTGTCTTTTTGTGTGTGTGTGTGTGTGTGTGTGTGTCTGTGTATACTGCCCTATCAAGCAAAAGAGCAGTAACTGCTCATAGTGAAACTGAGAAAATACTTCAAAGTTGTTTTATTGTCTAGCCAAATGAATTGTAGGCAGATTATTGGAGGTGGTTATCTTATCTTACTATGAGGTTATTTTTTTATTCATATTAACCCTGACCTCTGACATGACATTTGACCCTAGACGGCAGTTACTGCCTTCTTGCTTGGTACACCCACTGGAATACGTTTCCATGACGAACTTGTGTTAATATATGGCTGTCAGTGTCATATAGTTTAATACTTGTATCAGCAAAGAACAATAGGTAAACCGTAGACACTGCAGCCCAAAGCTCAGTGAAACCAAGGTAAAAAGGCAGTAAATGACATGAGTGATGGCAGTTAATAACTTTTTCCTTTGTTTCACAGTAACTTTTTGCAGTAACTACAAACAGGATCCCCCTTTTCTCCATAACACAACACAATGGAGGCAGGACATTTGTATTTTAATACAAATGTATTTTAATGTATAAAAAATGTCAACTCATTTTTGACCAAATGTGCAGTTACTGCTCTTTTGCTTGGTAGGGCAGTATAACCCTCTCCTCTGTCTTGTCTGTCAGGTTGTGTGTGTGTGTGTGTGTGTGTGTGTGAGAGAGAGACCCGCTCCTCTGTCCTGTGTGTCAGGGTGTGTGTGTATGTAACCTCTCTGTCCTATGTGTCAGGGTGTGTGGGTGTGACTCTCTCCTATGTCCTGTGTGCCAGGGTGTGTGTGTGTGTGTGTGTGTGTAACCTCTCTGTCCTGTGTGTGTGTGTGTGTGTGTGTGTGTGTGTGTAATCTCTCTGTCCTGCATATCAGGGTGTATGTGAGGAGATGACCTATGAGGAGATCCAGGACCACTACCCAGAAGAGTTTGCACTGAGAGACCAAAACAAGTACCGCTACCGCTACCCCAAGGGAGAGGTGAGAGTGTAATGTTTGTATACTATGTGTATGCACTGTGTATGTGTATAATGTGTATACTGTGTGTGTGAGCATAAGGTGTTTACTGTGTATACTAATGTGCATATTGTGTGTATAATGTGTATACTGTGTTTGGACCTATTGGCGTAACGGTTAAGGTGTTGGCTTCTTTATTAACCTGTCTCCTCCCCTTAATCTACACTGATTGAAGTGGATTTAACAAATAAGGGATCATAGATTTCACCTGGATTCACCTGGTTAGTCTATGTCATGGAAAGAGCAGGTGTTCTTAATGTTTTGTATACTCAGTGTATATAACATGTGTTTGTCAGTCCTATTTGTATTTATTATGGATCCCCATCTTGTGTTGTGTCGTGTTGTGTGCTATTGTGTTGTCTTGTGTTTTTTTCCCTGTGTTGTTTGTCTTGTGTTTTGTCTTGTGTGGCATTGTGGTGTTGTCTTGTCTGGTATTGTGTTGTGTTTTATTGTGTTGTATTGTGTTGTGGTACCTTTAGTTGAAACTCCTATCGAGTTGAGATATCTGGTTAACATCTTGTGTTGTATTGTGGTGTGTTGTCTTGTGTTGTCCTGTGCTGTGTTGTGGTGTTGTTGTGTTGTATTAAGTTGTCTTGTTTTGTGTTGTGGTCTGTTGTTGTTGTACCTTTAGTTGGAACTCCTATCCAGTTGAGGTATCTGGTTAATGTGTTGTGTTTTGTTTTGTTGTGTTGTGTTGGGTAGTGTGGTATTATGTGGTATTGGGTTGTATTGTGTTGTGTTGTGGTACCTTTTGTTGGAACTCCTATCCAGTTGAGGTATCTGGTTAACTGATTGTATTGTGTTGTGTTGTCCTGTGCTGTGTTGTTGTGGTCTGTTGTGTTGTGTTGTGGTGTGTTGTATTGTCTTGAGTTGTGGTGTGTGGTCTTGTGTAGTGTTTTGTGGTATTGTGTAGTGTTGTGGTCATGTCTTGAGTTGTGTTTAATTGTGTTGTCTATTGTTGTGTTGTCTTGTCTTCTGTTGTGGTGTGCTGTCTTGTATTCTATTGTCTTGTGTTGTGGTACCTTTAGTTGGAACTCCTATCCAGTTGATGTATCGGGTTGTCTTTTGTTGTGTTGTGTGGTGTTGTCTTTTGTGGTGTGTAGTGTTGTCTTGTGTTGTATTGTGTTGTGGTGTGTTCAGTTGTGTTGTCCAGTGTTGTGCTACATTATGTTGTCTTATGTTGTGGTGTGTGGTATTTTGTTGTGTTGTGGTACCTTTAGTTGGAATTCCTATCCAGCTGATGTATCTGGTTACCATCTTGTGTTATGTTGTTTTGTGTTGTGTTGTCTTGTCTTCTGTTGTGGTGTGCTGTCTTGTATTCTATTGTCTTGTGTTGTGGTACCTTTAGTTGGAACTCCTATCCAGTTGATGTATCGGGTTGTCTTTTGTTGTGTTGTGTGGTGTTGTCTTTTGTGGTGTGTAGTGTTGTCTTGTGTTGTATTGTGTTGTGGTGTGTTCAGTTGTGTTGTCCAGTGTTGTGCTACATTATGTTGTCTTATGTTGTGGTATTTTGTTGTGTTGTGGTACCTTTAGTTGGAATTCCTATCCAGCTGATGTATCTGGTTACCATCTTGTGTTATGTTGTTTTGTGTTGTGTTGTCTTGTGTTGTCTTCTGTTGTTTTTTTTTGTGTTGAGTCGTGTTCTGCTACCTTTAGTTGGAACTCCTATCCAGTTGAGGTATTTGTTTAACTTCTTGTGTTGTGTGATATTGTGTTGTGTTGTGTGGTATTGTGGTGTGTTGTGGTACCGTTAGTTGGAACTTCTATTCAGTTGATGTATCTGGTTAACGTGTTGTGTTTTGTTGTATTGTGTTGGGTTGTGTGGTATTGGGTTGTGTTGTGTTGTGTAGTGGTACCGTTAGTTGGAACTCCTATCTAGTTGATGTATCTGTTACCTTGTTGTGTTGTGTTGTCTTGTGTTGTTTTGTGTTGTGTCGTGTTGTGCTACCTTTAGTTGGAACTCCTATCCAGTTGAGGTATTTGGTTAACTTCTTGTGTTGTGTGATGTTGTGTTGGAATTGGGGTGTGTTGTGTTGTGGTACTGTTTCTTGGAACTTCTATTCAGTTGAGGTATCTGCTTAACGTGTTGTGTTGTGTGGTGTTGTGTTGTGTTGTCTTGTGTTGCCACGTGTTGTTTTGTGATGTGTTGTGTGTATTGTTGTGTACCTTTAGTTGGAATTCCTATCCAGTTGAGGTATCTGGTTAACTTCTTGTGTTGGGTTGTGTTGTGTGTGTGTGTGTGTGTGTGGTATTGTGTAATGTGTTGTGTTGTGTTGTGGTACCTTTAGTGGGAACTCCTATCCTGTTGAGGTATCTGGTTAACTTCTTGGAAATGTAGGTCTTTCCTCTAGCAGGCAGCCCCACCATCACAATCATAGTAGGAGAGTTAGTGAACTAGGGGACGGATGCTGAAACACACACACACACACACACACACACATCAGTTTTAGACGAATGGATAGACCATGTAGCACAAGCACAGATGTACACACACACTAACCACACAGACATGGTCTTAGTCTTAGGGGTGAATGGCCCTCAGGTCTCTCTCAGTGAGGTACACAGTGTTCCATAATGCAAGTCCTACCCTGACCCCAACACACACACACACACACGGACACAATTTGAAACAATACCAAGGTTCCGTAGGTTACGAGCACCAACCTGTCCACTACAGGTTATGAACCACACAGAGACCGACTGGTGTGTGTGTCTGGTGTTTCTGTGTGTATATTTGTGTGTGTGTAAGTCGCTCTGGATAAGAGCGTCTGCTAAATGACGAAAATGTAATGAAAAATGTGTAAAACTGAGTTGTTCAAGCATAACACGTCAACCCTGTTACCCATAGATAGACAAATATATAACATTATATATAATATGAAATTCAATTGCCACTCCCTGTTGCACACAACAATCTTCCATTCCCCCTGTCACAATGGCTGATTTCAGATAAAATTGTCAAACCTGTTACAGTCAACCCTGTTAGTTTATTCGGCACTTAATACTACTTTTTTGAGATGGGAAAACATGTTTAACCTGTGCTCTTTATGGCAGAATGTAAAAATGAGGTGAAATCAAATGTTTTCTTTTTTTTTTTTGGAATGACCCAATAGAGGGTTGACAGATTTTGTATTTGTACACTGCTCAAAAAGATAAAGGGAACACTAAAATAACACATCCTAGATCTGAATGAATGAAATAATCTTATTAAATACTTTTTTCTTTACATAGTTGAATGTGCTGACAACAAAATCACACAAATTATCAATGGAAATCAAATTTATCAACCCATGGAGGTCTGGATTTGGAGTCACCCTCAAAATTAAAGTGGAAAACCACACTACAGGCTGATCCAACTTTGATGTAATGTCCTTAAAACAAGTCAAAATGAGGCTCAGTAGTGTGTGTGGCCTCCACGTGCCTGTATGACCTCCCTACAATGCCTGGGCATGCTCCTGATGAGGTGGCAGATGGTCTCCTGAGGGATCTCCTCCCAGACCTGGACTAAAGCATCCGCCAACTCCTGGACAGTCTGTGGTGCAACGTGGCGTTGGTGGATGGAGCGAGACATGATGTCCCAGATGTGCTCAATTGGATTCAGGTCTGGGGAACGGGCGGGCCAGTCCATAGCATCAATGCCTTCTTCTTGCAGGAACTGCTGAAAACACTCCAGCCACATGAGCTCTAGCATTGTCTTGCATTAGGAGGAACCCAGGGCCAACCGCACCAGCATATGGTCTCACAACGGATCTGAGGATCTCATCTCGGTACCTAATGGCAGTCAGGCTACCTCTGGCGAGCACATGGAGGGCTGTGCGGCCCCCCAAAGAAATGCCACCCCACACCATGACTGACCCACCGCCAAACCGGTCATGCTGGAGGATGTTGCAGGCAGCAGAACGTTCTCCACGGCGTCTCCAGACTCTGTCACGTCTGTCACATGTGCTCAGTGTGAACCTGCTTTCATCTGTGAAGAGCACAGGGCGCCAGTGGCGAATTTGCCAATCTTGGTGTTCTCTGGCAAATGCCAAACGTCCTGCACGGTGTTGGGCTGTAAGCACAACCCCCACCTGTGGACGTCAGGCCCTCATACCACCCTCATGGAGTCTGTTTCTGACCGTTTGAGCAGACACATGCACATTTGTGGCCTGCTGGAGGTCATTTTGCAGGGCTCTGGCAGTACTCCTCCTGCTCCTCCTTGCGCAAAGGCGGAGGTAGCAGTTCTGCTGCTGGGTTGTTGCCCTCCTACGGCCTCCTCCACATCTCCTGATGTACTGGCCTGTCTCCTGGTAGCGCCTCCATGCTCTGGACACTACGCTGAAAGACACAGCAAACCTTCTTGCCACAGCTCGCATTGATGTGCCATCCTGGATGAGCTGCACTACCTGAGCCACTTGTGTGGGTTGTAGACTCTGTCTCATGCTACCACTAGAGTGAAAGCACCGTCAGCATTCAAAAGTGACCAAAACATCAGCCAGGAAGCATAGGAACTGAGAAGTGGTCTGTGGTCACCACCTGCAAAACCAGTCCTTTATTGGGGGTGTCTTGCTAATTGCCTATAATTTCCACCTGTTGTCTATTCCATTTGCACAACAGCATGTGACATTTATTGTCAATCAGTGTTGCTTCCTAAGTGGACAGTTTGATTTAACAGAAGTGTGATTGACTAGGAGTTACATTGTGTTGTTTAAGTGTTCCCTTTATTTTTTTTAGCAGTGTATTTATTATGCATCCACATTATCTACTCTTCCTGGGGTCAAGCAAAATTAAGGCAGTTAAACAATTTTAAAAACATTAAAATACATTCACAACAGATAAAGTGTGTGCCCTAGGCTCCTACTCTTCTACCACATATCTACAACACAAAATCCATGTGTACGTGTGTGTATAGGGCATATGTTATCATGTGTTTGTATGCATGTGTCTGTGCATATGTTTGTGTTGCTTCACAGTTCCGCTGTTCC